GTACGCCGCCTTTTTGGCAAGCAGCCATTCCCGGATGCCCTTGGAGCCACAGAATAGCAGAGACTTCCTATAACAAATTAAAAACGTTGGCATCTGACAGACGTAGTGGAAAAAAACAGTGCTTTACTTTCAGTTCGGCATGCCCTCACACCAAGCACAGCACATGCTCAGAAGAGGAACTGCATCAGTTTGACCTGGCTCACCCAGCATTTGTATAGATGATGCACTTCATTGGAGCTTTTTGGTGCTTTTATGTAATAGCTGATTTAGACAAAAGTGCCAAAAAGCCCCACTGAAGTGCATAATCTATACAAATGCTTTGGAGCCGGGTCAAACTGACATGTTTCCTCTTCCAGTAAAGTGCGGGGAGGGGAGTGGGTTCCATGTCTGTCAGTGCCCTTTGTTCACCAAGATTCAAGACTCATAAGATAACTGTGCGCCTTTGTTGCCACAAACTCTGATATTGCTTGTGACATATATATTTTGAACCACAGCATTCTCAATAGTCAAGATGGCCAGCAAAGATAGTCCATCATCTCCCATAGTTGTTCACAAATATGTTTTTATGAGCTTTAGCTTTGAGAAGCTCTGTTCACTGTTCACCAGCAAATACGGGCAGGGTTAACAGGATCCTGAGTGCTATCCTGTGTGCTTGAGAAGTTATCATGAAATTCATTGTTGTTAATAAATTGTAGAACATCTTGAGGAGCACTACAATCTGTTGGAAGTAGATTTTGGAGATGGGCAAGTTCTTCCCTGAGGTCAACACTCAATGTCAGAGCTCTCTCCATATGTCAATGCACAATGATGGTCCTTATATTGTTTCTTCAAAATTTCTTTATCAGTCACATCATGTTATATAGAACCCTCCAAACGTGCACATGTTGATTCATTTGCTCAAATTGTTCTTCTACAGATACTTTCACCATGTCTATAGGCCGGCTGAAAAATTCAAGTTTGAACTTGATTTCTGGATTGTTAACTGATTCATCTTCACATTCATAGCTGAATTGATGCTTTTTATGACGTGTGTGCAGGGCTGGTTTAGATCAACACCAAGATTTTTAGGTATTTCCTTAGCTGTTGTCAGAGATTCTTCATACCTGACTTCCCTGTAGTTTACAATACAGTCACCACAGGCCTTTTTTAACATTTGTGGCTGTAACAGTGTTGAAATTTTTCTTGATTTGCATGCTTTTGCTCACCACAGTGACTTAAAAAGGGATATAGTACCATGCTACAATGTAGACAAGAAACTTGAATTTGGTGAGTTGACATGCCAAGGTGAGCATTTCCTGATGGATGCCAGTGTCTGCTTGCTCTAATTCAGCCAATGCAACGAGGGCATCAAGGACTTCAGTTACTTGGTATCAAATAGCTTTAAAGCTTTCAATTCTGCATTCGCAGCATGTTTCATTTACTGGCTTAGCAGTGACATTGACATGATCTGTGAAATTCTTCCAACAATGAACAGGGACAGAGAACAGAATGTAGATCTTTTGCAGAATCCCAAAGAGGGACTTGGACTTCACTGAAGATTTTGCAGTATCCGCCACCACAAGACTGTGTGGCATCCACATAGAAAGAAAAATGCTCTTGGGTTTTGATTCAGGATTCTTGCCGATACACCCTTGTTTTCCCCTTCATATTTACACCATTGTCATACTCTTGGCCCTGGCAGTCTCGGATATTTATGTCATATTTCTTCAGAGTAGTAAGTATAGTATGAGTTAGTCCTTCCCCTGTGGACTTTTCCACTGTTTTGAAACCAAAAAAGTGCTCCTGAATGGTCACTTTGCCATCTGAAGTGTCAAGGAACCTAACAGTGAATCTAACAGGATCCTATTTTATCCTTTGCTCTGCTTTAACCTACATTCAGCAGGAATTGATATGACTAGTCAACTTTTCATGACACATGAGAATCTGAGACATATGCTGCCAATCATTTAACTCCTCAAATGCTAGGGATGATTTTGGATTCAAATCAAAGACCTTGCAGCAGAAACAGAAAACCTTGTCAGTGGACTCTGAGTAAAGCAATGAGTACCACTTCAGAACTTTGCCATTTTCAAGATTTCTGAATAAAAAATGTCACAGAAAAGTGGCAATTCTTCTTACCCAGAGGTAAGTCCATGCCCTTTACTTCTGGTGGACCATTGGCCACTAGCAGATCTCAAATTTTGGGCATTAGATTGGGCCATAAAGCAGGATCAGAAATGGTATCACCAGTGTCTATAATGGGAATCATTTTATTTTTATAACCAGTGATCATCATTATTTTGGTCCAGATGTAGAATTTCTGTTTCATTTGGGTCTTTTTGTGTTTCTTGTGATGATTCTTGGAAGTTGAATTGTGGATTGTCAATGCATTTTTCATTTGACGTCCCTGATGTGACCATGTCACTACTACTGCCCGGGGCTGTCATTAACAAATTTCAAATATTTTTTCATTAAGTCTGCATTTTTATTCATTGTAGTCATTAACTAAGCTTTTTGTTTCCTGTTCTGCACACCTGACATCCTCTTCTTAGGTA